GTGAGATGCTCCACACTTCTCTGATGTGCTTGTCCTTCATTGTATTCAGTTAATAAACCTAACTTTGTCAGGCTATAGGTTTGTCCCTAGCGTTTGAGTTAGACAGTTTCGAAGATACCACCGAGGTTTCCAAGATGATGGGACTCTACTCAGTAATTGCGCATCTGAGACCCCTTCAGTCTCACACATTGGAGGTTTCTCTGTTTCCAGTTGCATAGGTTTTACACTAAGCTTCCATTAGGAAAAATCTAACCTAGCTGACTTCATTTATCAAATACTTTATCTTATGCTCATTGAAATTTGTGTGTGACTTTTTTTTGTTGTTGTTTGTTTGAGACGAGTCTTGCTCTGTCGCCCAGGCTGAAGTGCAGTGGCGCGATCTTGGCTCACTGCAAGCTCACTTCCCAGGTTCACGCCATTCTCCTGCCTCAGCCTGCCAAGTAGCTGGGACTACAGGTGCCCGCCACCATGCCCGGCTAATTTTTTGTATTTGTAGTAGAGACAGGGTTTCACCATGTTAGCCAGGATGGTCTCGATCTCCTGACCTCAAGTGATCTGCCCGCCTCAGCCTCTGAAGGCAGGATTACAGGTGTGAGCCACCACGCCCAGCAGTGTGTGACTTTAAAAGAAAACATTTTCCTATACGGTGAAACTGAACCTGGTAAGTTGTGAAATAAAGTAACTTGAGTCTTGGGAATAAGGAGTGCCTTATAAGAGTTAATACTTATTCATAGGGCTGACCCATTAACAAGTTGGTAAAATATATATATATATATATATATATATATATACATATATATATATATATACTTAGTAGGAAATTGTGATCTAGTAAATGTGTCTGGCTTAGTCATACAGAACACCTTTACCCACCTCCGTTTTCTGCAGAAATTAGAAACATCCGATTTGAAAAATTAGGAACTCTTTTCTATAATACTATTGGGGATTTTGTTTTTATTTTTGCTTTCTCATATCTTGTGGTTTTTTTGTGAATTTTTTTATTTTTTTGAGACGGGGTCTCAATCTGTCGCTCAGACTGGAATGCAGTGGCCTGATCTCATTGCAACATCAGCTTCCTGGGCTCAAGCGATCCTCCCACCTCAGTCTCCCAAGTAGCTGGGACTACAGGCGCGTGCCATCACGACTGGCTGATTTTTTTTTTGGAAGACTCATTTGAACACCAAACATTTTTCTTTCTTTCTTTTTTTTTTTTTTTGAGACGGAGTCTCACTCTGTCGCCCAGGTTGGAGTGCAGGCGATCTCAGCTCACTGCAACCTCCGCCTCCTGGATTCAAGTGATTCTCCTGCCTCAGCCTCCTAAGTAGCTGAGACTACAGGCAGGAGACACCACGCCCAGCTAATTTTTTGTATTTTTAGTAGAGACAGGGTTTCACCATGTTAGCTGACCTCGTGATCCATCTCGGCCACCCAAAGTGCTGGGATTACAGCCATGAGACGCTATGCCCCGGCCTTGAGCACCAAACATTTTTCTAGAAATATTTTTTAAAATTCTAAACATCCAAATAAGGAAAGAAGAAGCCAAACCATCTCTTCACGGATATGATACTACACCTTGAAAACCCTGAAGACTCCACCCAAAAGTTGCAGGAACTGATGAACAACTTCAACAAAGTTTCAGGATACAATATCAAAGTACAATAATCAATAGCATTCCTATACACCAATAACATTCAAGCACAGCACCAAATCAAGAATGTAATCCCATTTACAATAGCCACCAAAAAATAAAATAAAATACCTAGGAGTACATCTAACCAAGGAGGTGAAAGATCTCTACAAGAAGAACTACACAACACAGAAAGAAATTCTAGATGACACAAATGGAAAAACATTCTACAATATCAATATCATTAAAATGGCCATACTGCCCAAAGTAATCTATAGATTCAACACTACTCCTGTCAAACTACCAATGTCACTTTTCACAGGATTGGAAGGAAAAAAACTATTCTAAAATTCATATGTAAATAAAAAAGGGCCCAAATAGCCAAAGTAATTCTAAGCAAAAAGAACAAAGCCAGAGTCATCACATTACCCAACTTCAAACTACACCATAAGACTACAGTAATCAAAACAGTATGGTACAGGTTCAAAAACAAACACATAAACCAAGGAACAGAATAGAGAACCCAGAAATAAAGCCACCCATCTACAGCCATCTACTCTTTGACAAAATCGACAAAAATAAACAATGGGGAAAGGACTTCCTATTCAATAAAAGGTGCTGGGATAGCTGGTTAGCTATATGCAGAAGAATGAAACTGGACCCCACCTTTCACTGTATACAAAAATTAACTCAAGATGACTTAACGATTTAAATATAAGACCTCAAACTATAAGAATCCTAGAAGAAAACCTAGGAAACACCATTCTGAACATTGGCCTTCGGAAAGAATTTGTGTGTGATTAAGTCCTCAAAAGCAACTGCAACAAAAACAAAATTGACAAGTGGGACCTAATTAAACTAAAGAGTTTCTGCACAGCAAAAGAAACTATCATCAGAGTGAACAGGCAACCTACAGAATGGGAGAAAATATTTGCAAACTATGCATCCAACAAAGGTTTAATATCTAGACTTTATAAGGAACTTAACTGAACAAGAAAAAACAACCCAAATTTTAAAGTGGACAAAAGACAGAAACAGACACTTCTCAAAAGAAGACATACAAGCAGCCAACAACTATATAAAAGAATACTCATCATCCCTAATTATCAAAGAAATACAAATCAAAACCACAATGAAATACCATCTCACATGAGTCAGAATGGCTATTACTAAAAAGTCAAAAAACAAATATTGGCGAGGCTGCAGAGAAAAGGGAATGTTTATGTAGTGTTGGTGGAAATGTAACGTAAATTAGTTCAACCACTGTAGGAAGCAGTTTGGATATTTCTCAAAGAACTTAAAACAGAACTGTTCAACCCAACAATCCCATTACTGGGTACATATCCACAAGAAAACAAATCATTCTACCAAAAAGACACATATACTCACATGTTCATCCCAGCACTATTCACAATAACAAAGTCATGGAATAAACCTAGGTGCCCATCAGTGGTGGTCGGGATAAAGAAAATGTGGTACATATACACCATGGAATACTATGCAGCCATAAAAAAGAATGAAATCATGCCCTTTGCAGCAACATGGATGCAGATAGAGGCCACTATCCTAAGCAAATTACATAGGGATAGAAAACCAAATTCCGTATGTTCTCACTTATAAGTGGGAGCTAAACATTGAGTACTCATGGACATAAAGATGGCAACAATAGATACTGGGAGCTACTACAGTGGGGGTAAAAAAGGAGGGAAGCAAGGCTTGAAAAACTAACTACTGGGTATTATGCTCAGTACCTGGGTAACGGGATCATTCATATATCAAACCTCAACATCACACAATATATCCAGGTAACAAATGTGCACATGTACCACCTGAATCTAAGATAAAAGTTGAAAAAAATTATCCCTACAGCCTGTGAAATAATTTCATGAAACATGCTATTAAGTAAGATATATGCATTTTCTCATACCTACTAATGGAAATTTAGACTTAATGGCATACCTCTTCCTCTTGGAGGATGTTTTCATCAGAAATACATTTGTCTAAATTAATTTCAAACTTTACCCCCTTCTAGGAGAAAGCAAAAAAAAAAAAAAAATTAGTTTAGCAATTCAATAAAAGCCTTAAAATTACAACTCCCTAGGTCAATTTTGTTTGACATTATAGATTCTTAAAACCATTAGTCTCACATCACAAAATAGAGCCATTCTATAAAATAGTTGGGGGAAAATCACGTAGGCAACCCAGATCACAAGGTGGTTCCCCAGCCAGTTATTTAATATGGAACCCAAAGACAAAAGTATTTCTTACCTTAGGTTTATATTTCTGTTCTGGATTGTTACTTTCCTTTGTGTTCTGAAGCCTCCTTTGTTTCAAGTCTCTTTCAATGTCCTGAAAATTCAGAGAAAAATACAATTTTATCAACTCATGTATGTTTACATGAGTTTATTTCCGGGTTAAATCTGATGATTGATTTAAGAACAAAAACAAGCTTTTATAATGGAAAGTTAATAATAATTCACTAAAAACTTGGGCACAGTATCCATTCTACATTTAACACTGGCACTTCAGTGGGTGAAATTCTATAATGTGACAATACTTATCACTCTAGTCCGCTCCAGTCCAACCCAATTCAATTCAAGAATGTAATTTTGACTACAGGATCTTTCCTTTAAGAGGCTTATGATCTTAATCCGAAAAATAAGCAAAGTGCGCAACTCATGATGGTAGAAAGGAAGGAGAGGGCTCTGAAAATTGGCAGGCAGTTTCAAGGAGGAAGAGAAGAAAACTAAAACTGGATAACAAGAATTTCAAAGGCACAATTGAGATGTGAACTCCATATTCGGAGGTTTCTTAGCGTCCTATCTTGGGCCGTCTGCTCTTCTCTTCCCTAACACAAGGGGTTTCACTCATTCCTATGGATTTAAACGCCACCGTTAAGCAGTGATTCTTAAATGGGTATCTTCGGGCTTCACTTTTCCTCTCCTCTGAGCTCCAGACTCACATATCCAACTACCTACTTAGCATCATCTTCATCTTAATATTCACTTCACAAATTCACACTGAGCACTCCCTAGGGGCCAGACACCCTCAAAATGGGTTAGCACAGTGGACATGACCAGAAAGGTCCCTGCTGACATGGAGCTTACATTTTACTGCAGTAGGATAGGTAATAAAAGAGTTAATAAACGACATAATTTCAGAAAGTGTTAGTGCTATCAAGGGAACAAAATAGGATAACAGGACGGAAAATGAGTAAGGAGTGAGAGTAACACAGGCAAAGCTTATCTGACAATTGATTTAAGCCCTGGAATGATATTGGACCTTGGCATATGCAGGTCTAGGGAGCGCATTTTCCATGCAGAGGGAACAGTGGGGTAAAGGCTCCAGAGCAGGTATGTAAACTCTCACAACCTCTCTAACTCAATGTCCAAATGGAACTTGAGTGCCCTCCACCCCTCCCCAGCAGAGGGCACTGAAATCATATGCTTTCAGCCAAGAAGACAGAGTATCAGAAACCAGATTTAATTCCTCACCTGAAACAACCAAAGAGCCAGACCAAATATATACTTGATAAATGGTTTTTAATACATTAGACATCCAGCAATGAAAGACAGTAATCCCTGAGAAACAGAAAACCAATGAGACAAGCCCTGCAACTGCCTCAGCCTCCTGTCTTGAGAGTGTTTGCAGGCCATGGTGCAGGGGTGGGGAACTGAAGAGGTGCAGGGATGGGGAACCGAAGATGAGTGTGGCCGACTCCCTGAGTTGATAAGACAAGGCTTGGGGGTATTAAGGTGCTACAGTCTGAAAGGCAAAGACCCAAAGAGGAGAGAGCTGCATAAAGAGAACTGAAACACTCATACAATGTCAAGGGGAGTGTAACACAGTGCGACCATTCGGGAACACCATTTGGTAGTTCTTTGAAAGTTAAATATACACCTACTATATGATCCATCCATCCCAGTTCAATGTATTTACCCAAAAGAAAGAAAAGAAGCATGTGACCACATAAAGATTTGTACATGATAGCCAGGCACGGTGGCTCACACCTGTAATCCCAGCACTTTGGGAGGCTCAGGTGGGTGGATTACCTCAGGTCGGGAGTTTGAGACCAGCCTGACCAACATGGTGAAACCCCGTCTCTACGAAAAATACAAAATTAGCCGGGCGTGGTGGCGCATGCCTGTAGTCTCAGCTACTTGGGAGGTTGAGTCAGAAGAATCACTTGAACCCAGGAGGCGGAGGTTGTGGTGAACTGAGATCGCACCATTGCGACTCCAGCCTGGGCAACAAGCGTGAAGCTTGTCTCAAAAAAAAAAAAAAAAAAAAAAAAAGATTGGATGAATATTCCTAGCAGCTTTATTTATAACAGCCAAAAGCTGGAGACAATCCAAATATCCATCTACAGTGAATGGATCAATACATTTTGATATATTCATACAATAGAATATACTCGGCAATAAGGAATAATGAACTATTAATATGTGCAACATGGATAAGTCTCAACATTATTATGTGAATGAAAGTAGCCAGAAAAAAGACTCCATTTATGTAATGGAGTCTCCATTTATGGAGTCAGCACGACTCCATTTATGTAATCCAAACAAATCTAGAAAATGTAAACCAACCTACAGCGACAGAAAGCAGATCTGTGGTTGCATGGGGATGAGATGGGACGAGAGGCAGGGAGAATGAGAGAGAGGAGTTTACAAAAGGGCGCAACAAACTTCTGCAAGTGATGGCTACGCTCACTATATTGATCGTGGTGATGGTTTAATGGGTGTGTATGTCAATCATATAAAGCATATACATTAAATATGTGTGGTTTATTATGATCAATTATATCTCAATAAAACTGTTTTTTTTAAAAAGAGATGGGGGACTCAAGTCCTAATCTGTGGCAGTACATTGGAGAAGTGAGCAAGAGACTGCACACCAGCCTGGAGTTCCTGCCTCAAGATCCCAGACCCCATGGCTGCAAGGTTATCAGTCTTCACAGGGCCAAGAGGGCCTTTCAGATGACATGACCCTGGAGAGCTTGACAGCAGACTAAGATTGAATGTCCCACCCACTGGTGTAGACTGGGGTTGGAATCTGAGATCGTTGTATTTTAAGAAAAGTGAAGTAATGGAGCACTTATTATACAATTGAGACAACCAGACTATCCAAGCATATCAGACAACCAACTTCACAAGTATAAGTAAGATACATAAGCCAGAGTCCTGATTTCAGACTTCATACTATTGCAAGGCAGAAAAACACCCTTCCCAAGGTTGCAGGGCAAATAGCTAATAATGCTTCAAACTGACACAGGCTGGTATATGAGGTATTTGGAAATGCTGTGGACATAGAGGTGAGGCAGTTATTAATTCTAAGGGACAAAGAGAAAAAAGCTGTGCTAGAAACTTCGCCAGGGGGTCTGATACAATGTGTTCTGCAAGAAAAGAAGAGAGGGAAAGGAAATTTCGGAGAGGAATGAACATTTTACAAAGGCCTGGAGGTTAAAAGGAAGATGTCTTTTTAAATAAGTAGGGCTTTAAAAAGCAATTTGAAAAGTTTAGAGCTTTGGGTATGTTTGGGGGAAATGTGAGCGATGATGCCGGAACATTCTGTTAGGAACAACTCACAAAAGTCTAGCATGCCATGCTAAGGAAAATGGCAGTCACCATTGATTGTCATGTAGAGAAATAATGTGTTCAAATCAGTATTTTGGAAAGATAACTTTACAAGTAGAGACTTTTTAAAAGTGTCTTATTATATAACTGCATATTTCCTTCAAAAAAGATAATTAAAACCTAAATTCAAAAATTAGACAAATTAAGTGATGATTATTTCCTTTACGAAAGTTTGCAAAGGGATCTGCTGCTGGATTGCTCTGGAGGACAGCCTTCAGGAAATATCAGATGCCTTTTGTTTGTTTGTTTTAGAGATGGAGTCTCGCTATATTACCCAGGCTGGTCTCAAACTCCTCAGCCTCCCAATAGCTGGAACTACAGTCTCGTGCCACCATTCCTGTCTTTCAGATGGCTTTTTTGTTTGAAGCTATTGATTAGAATGCTGACAGAACTAAGGAACGGACACTTTATTATACATATTTGTAGTAAAAGTTCTGTAACCTTCTTATAAAAAAATCTAAAAAGTAGAGAGACAATAATCACCCCTACTCATACCAATCCAGATACCATCAATTACCACCACTGGCATTTTGGTGTATTTTCTTTCAAAGTTACTCCTCTTGCATAAAATATACAAAATTTTATTCACCCAATTCCTGATACAAACTTTTTGAGGGAAGGTACCATCATTTATTTGTGTTCTTCCAGTGGTTTATGTTTAATTATCTGACTTTAAAAAACTTTAAGGCACTGGATTTACTCTAACCAGGTTAAAAACATGTGAGAGAAAAATATGTCTGTAATATCTGAGCCATGTTTTCATGGAATTTGACTGTGACTCTACTGGCACCTTTGAATGACAAGTTTATAATACCTTGAGGATTTTCCATTTCTAGTTGATGCTGGACCAAGCTCAACAATAAATATAATTTAAAACACAGAGAATTACTCTAATTATAAAGATAATAAAAATTAGGCCGGGCGAGGTGGCTCACACCTGTAATCCCAGCACTTTGGGAGGCCGAGGAGGGTGGATCACCCGAGGTCAGGAGTTCAAGACTAGCCTGGCCAACATGGCAAGACCCTATCTCTACTAAAATACAAAAAGTAGCTGGGCGTGGTGGCAGGAGCCTGTAATCCCAGCTACTTGGGAGGCTGAGGCAGGAGAATTGCTTGAACCCAGGAGGCGGAGGTTGCAGTGAGCCGAGATCGTGCCATTGCACTCCAGCCTGGGCAACAAGAGCAAAACTCCGTCTAAAAAAAAAAAAAGAATAAAAGAAAAAAAGATAATAACTCTCAGTATGGGCCAAATCATTGAGAATCTTCTTACTAAGCAAAAATAAAAGCACGCTTGGGCTTCTTATTCACAAAATCAATATAACTCCTTGAAAAGTAAAACATTTTATGATTTATATAATGTTGAATAATTCTCAGAATTGGTTGAAATCAACAGATTCATCTTGCATTATAATTGTATAATCTTTTCTTAGAAGGGAAAAAACTCTCTTGAGATTTATTTGTTATTTCAACTCTGCCCAGCCGCTTACCTCCACCAAAAACATAAGGTTGAAATGGAAGAGAAGTTGACTGTCAGATTTCCTGACCAATGTGTCTGAGACACTGACTTAGACCCTCCAAAGAGTGGAAAGTTCTTATGCTAAATAGCAGCAGTTCTCAAATTTGGCTGCATACTAAATCATCCAGCAAGCTTCTGCAGACAGAATGCCTGGGCCCCATCCCACACCATCTGGGGCAGAGAGAGGCATCCGAGTTTTTAAAAAGTTCTGATAAAAAGGTGGTGGCTCATGCCTGTAATCCCAGCACTTTAGGAGGCTGAGGCTGGTGGATCACGAGGTCAAGAGATCAAGACCATCCTGGCCAACATGGTGAAACCTTGTCTCTACTAAAAACACAAAAATTAGCTGGGCATGGTGGCGCATGCCTGTAGTCCCAGCTACTCGGGAGCCTGAGACAGGAAATCACTTGAACCCAGGAGGCAGAGGTTGCAGTGAGCCAAGATCATGCCACTGCACTCCAGCCTGGCAACAGAGTGAGACTCTGTCTCAAAAAAAAAAAAAAAAAAAAAAAAAAAAAGTTCCCTACATGGTTCTGCTGCACAGAGAAGGGTAAGAGCCACTTGGGTAGAGCACACACACCACAAGCACACACATGTCTAATCACAGCCATCATTACCTGCACAGGTGCTTCTCCCTCAGATGCATCTTGATGGACAGGCAGGTTGCTCTTCTTCACCAAATAGGTTTTATGACTTATTTTTGAGTTCTCCTTTAACACAATTATACACAGTCAACAAGATTGGTTCTGAGTGAGCTCTGAAGGCTACTTGGCTGATGCATGATCAATGATGGAATGGCTGGACAGAACCCTTTTGATGGCTCCTTTTCCCCCCCGCAGCCTCAATATTTCCCAAATCCTTCTTCCATAGTCTCTGTAGAAATGTCTGCTATCCATTTTTGCAGGGCTCAGGCTGCCCATCCCAGATCAGCTTCAGACATAAGGCTGATGATGGCTCCAAGCTGTCCACCATGAGCCAGGCCTCTGCTCTGGAGAGAACAACCTCCAGGCTGCCCCTCCCAGCACATGCAGTCCTCTATCCCAACCTTCGCATGGCTCTTTCAGAATGCCCACCCTCCTCCCTTAACTCTGCCTCTCCATATTCCACTCTTCTTCTCAGACACAGTTTAGGCCCCACCTACTTCTTCCATAAACACCCGCTTCCTGCTCATTCTGCTCATCTTGGCTCCTGTGCACCTACAGGGCTTACTCTATGATTGTTTTATACATGTGTCTCATCATTCCAACCATTTACAAGTAGAATTGCACATGCCAGAAAGACTAGTGGTTATAATTGTATTTTTTTATTTTTTGAGACAGGGCCTCCCTCTGTTGCCCAGACTGGAGTGCAGTGGAACAACCTCAGCCTCCCACCTCAGCCTCCTGAGTAGCTGGCACTAGAAGCATTTACCACCATGCCCCACTAATTTTTTTAATTTTTTGTACAGATGGAGTCTCATTATGTTGCCCAGGCTGGTCTCAAACTCCTGGGCTCAAGCAATCCTTCTGCCTTGCCTCCCAAAGTGCTAGGATTACAGGCATGAATGTGAGTAGGGGTTTTAGAGTCAGATTTTTGTTTTATTTTACTTTATTTTATTTTTTTGAGACAGAATCTTGCTGTGTATCCTAGGCTGGGGCACAGTGGCACAATCATGGCTCACTGCAGCCTTTAGCTCCCAGCTCAAGCAATCCTCCTGCTTTAGCCTCCCAAGTAGCTAGGACTATAGGTGCAAACCACCATGCTCAGCTAATTTAAAATTTTTTTGTATATATCTGTGTATATACACAGATATATACACACATACATATGTTTAGAGCTAGGGTTTCCCTATGTTGCCCAGGCTGGTCTCAAATTCCTGGGCTCAAGCGATCCTCCTACCTCAGCCTTTCAAATTGCTGGGATTACAGTCATGAGCTACCATGCCCAGCCTAGAGTCAGATATTGAAATATTTAGTCTGCCTTGTAATAGCTACGTGACTTTGGATGAGCTACTTAACTTCTCTGTATGGGGTAAATAAAAGAAAGTATGTATGTGATATGGTTTGGCTGTGTCCCCACCCAAATCTCACCATGAACTGTAATAATCCCCGTGTGTCAAGGGTGGGGCCAGGTGGAGATAACTGAATCATGGGGGCAGTTTCCCCCATACTGTTTCCATGGTAGTAAGACTCACAAGATCTGATGGTTTTGTAAATGAGAGTTCCCCTGCACAAACTCTCTTGCCTGCCTTCATGTAAGGCATGACTTTGCTCCACCTTTGCCTTCTGCCATGATTGTGAGGCCTCCCTAGCCATGTGAAACTGTGAGTCTATTAAACCTCTTTTTCTTTATAAATTACCCAGTCTCGGGTATGTCTTTATTAGCAGTATGAGAACAGACTAATACAGTATGTGAAAGCTCTGGTTCACAGCCTGGCAAAAACAACTGAATTGCACCATACATTCATTTGACTTATATGAATATATTTATCTGTATGCACTGCGGTAGAAGAGAAAGAGAGAGCGATCAATTTCAGCAGCATGGTGGCTCTACTCAATGAGTGTGTGGCCAAGTCCATGTGGGATGCGAGACAGCCATCTCAGTGCCTGCAAGCTTCTCCTAAGAGAGCATTCCAGGGCACTGAGTGTGTTCCTAGTGTTTCAATAGCCATGTGTCTTTCTTACAACATGGTTTCCAAACACAGGCTGGCTATTTCATCTGCAGCTCTTCTGAAGAAGCAGTGATCTGTGCCAACTCTAGAGACCTTCTTGGGAGATGGAAGGATGAATTTCCAATGTGGTGCCTTTAAGAAATTTTTAAGAAGCAGTTCAACTGCACTCAGATTTTGCCTTAAATAGCCTTTAGAACCTTACCCTGCAGAGAGTTGAAAAAATGCTAGTGTGTTGTTGTTGTTGTTGTTGTTGTTTTGCTCCTTCTGGGCATGAACTTACACTCATTTTGTACTTTCTGCATCTAATCCAGTTCTGGTCTAAAGTTGCTGCTCAGTAAATACATATTGAGTGATTTATAAGAAAAACAATGAATAAGTACTCTTAATAATAGCCATTCCTGAGAATCTCAGATATCCTTATTATCTTGTGGAGTCTCTCGTAAACCATAATAAACTGAAGCTCCAATGAGGTCTGACAGCTTTCCTATTAAAAAAGAATTCTGCATGATTATCTCTATGATAAAACTTTATCTTTTCTATGAGAAAATCATTACTTTTAATACCGGCTCAATTTAGTTAGCTCTAAATCGATAGAACAATGTTTCCCCTAGAAGAATGAATTTACCTCTGGTTCTCTCCCCATCTTCTTTCTAATTTCTTTCATGTCATTGTGGTACTGTTGGCGTATTTCCTCTAACTGCTTCCAATATTCCTGGAAAGCAAACCCAATCCAGAAACTTTAAATGTTTATGAACACCATAACCAAAATAATATTTATGCAGCCTACAATTTCAAAACTGTGTAATATAAAATAAGGTTAGAAAAATATGTTGCTCCTAAAGATGATAATCTGTCTTATGTTTTGGCTCTGGTACTTCACACCCTGTGAGACAGTAGCTTCAGCTACAAAGCTCAATTTTATATACAACCCAAATGTGTTCATGACGTACACTGACTTTATAAATCCCACTTTTATATATAACCCTCTTACGCACTGAACTTTGTCTCTCCCCAAAAAGAAATATGTTGAAGTCCTAATCCCCAGTGCCTAAGAATGTGATCCCATTTGAAAACGGGGTCACTGCAGATGAGACTAGTTAAGGTGAGATCATACTGGTGGGCCCTTAGTTCAATATGACTGGTGTCCTTGCAAGTAGATGGCCATGTGAAGACGGACACACAGGAAGAACAGCATGTGATACAGGCAGAGAATGGAGTGATGTGACTGCAAGTAAAGGAATGCCAAAGACTGCCAGCGACACACCAGAAGCTGGGGAGAGGCAAGGAAGGATTCCCCTACAGGTTTCAGAGGGCACTTGGTACTGCTGACACCTTGATTTTGGATTTCCACTCTCCCAGAATTATGAGACAGTACATTTCTATTGTGTTAAGCCACCTAGTTTGTTGAACTCTGTTACAGCAGCCCAGGAAACTAATACAAATCCCAAATCTGTTAATGAGGGACAGTTACTCTATGAATCGCAAGGTGAAAAGCTGTATGAACTTAGCCATATTGCATTATCTGAAAAAGTGAAATACCTAACTCTGTATCCCCTGTAACACTCAGCATGGTGTTGACATATTCAGGGGCACTGTAGGAAACAAAAGTAACTTCCTATTACAGTACAAAAGACAGTAATACAAAGAAATACAAGGGTAACCCTGGAATTAAAGTTTTTAACCTGTTCCTTCATTTCGTTTTTCCTAAATGGCCACTCCTGGAATCTAGGCTCTTCTCCATTACTTCTTAGCTCTTGTCTCTGGTTGTAATTTGGCTCGGCAGAAGATGGACGAAGACCCTATTCATTGAATGAAATAATTTATAAAGCATACTTTGATTTCAGAAACATCTTCATCTTCTGATTTGACCTTGACTTTTGACTATAAATAAGAATTATATCACTAAGCAAACTCAGTATTTGGGAGTTTTTTTGTAGTAAGTAGTAGAATTTTCTTAAGTATAAAACATTAAAACATATATATGTATTTTTCTGTTTGAGAGAGTCTCACTCTGTCACCCAGGCTGGAGTACAGGGGTATGATCTTGCCTCACTGCAGCCTCCAACTCCTGGGCTCATGCAATTGTCCTGCCTCAGCCTGAGTAGCTGCGACAACAAGCACATGCTGCCACGTCTGGCTAATTTTAAAATTTTTGGTAGAGATAAGGTCTCACTATGCTGCCAGGCTGGTTTTGAATTCCTGAGCTCAAGTGATCCTCCTGCCTCAGCCTTCCAAAGTGATTGGATTACAGGTGTGAGCCACTGTGCCACGCACATAGTAAACAATTTTAAAAAATTAATTCAATCATTTATATAATTTATTCTAAATGATCTATATGTTATGCTACCATTTGAGATATGTAGATTTATTTTTGGAATTGGTAACATAACTGTGATATCAAAGGTTTGTAAAGGGTTAGCAACCCCAGAGCATGAATTATGTAGGGGAATAGAACTATAGGTTTTCAAAGGTTCAAAACAAGAGTGATATAAATAGGGTGCAAATCCTGCCTCTCTCAGCCCCAGAATTCTGACAGTATTTAAGGGTAAAGGTTAACTTTCATTTCAAATAAAGTACAACAGTCACCTTTTTTTTTTGAGATGGAGTCTCGCTCTGTCACCCAGGCTGGAGTGCAGTGGCCCGATCTCGGCTCACTGCAAGCTCCACCTCCCAGGTTCACGCCATTCTCCTGCCTCAAGCCTCCCAAGTAGCTGGGACTACAGGCACCTGCCACCATGCCTGGCTAATTTTTTTGTATTTTCAGTAGAGACGGGGTTTTACCGTGTTAGCCAGGATGGTCTCAATCTCCTGACCTCGTGATCCGCCCACCCCTGCCTCCCAAAGTGCTGGGATTACAGGCGTGAGCCACCGCGCCCGGCCCCTTGTCACTTTTTTTTAATGTGCAGAAGAATCTTTAACAAAATAGAACCAAAGCACTAGAGCACTGTAATTTGAAGCTCACCTACTCTAAAAATTGTCATTTATAGAAAAGGAAATTAAGGCTCAGATAGGTTGAATGAACTGTCCAAGGTCCCACAGAAGAGATAAAGCCAAGAAAGAAGCCAGACTGCTAAGACTCTAATTCAACCCTTTCCCATTATTTTCTTTAGCTATTAAAAACTGGGGACTCAGGCCAGGTGCAGTGGCTCACACTTGTAATCCCAGCATTTTGGGAGGCCTAGGTGGGTGGATCACCTGAGGTCAGGAGTTCAAGACCAGCCTGGACAACATGGTGAAACCCCGTCTCTACCAAAAATACAAAAGTTAGCCGGGCGTGGTGGTGGGAGCCTGTAATCCCAGCTACTTGGGAGGCTGGGGAAGGAGAACTGCTTGAACCTGGGAGGCAGAGGTTGCAGTGAGCCAAGATCACGCCACTGCACTCCAACCTGGTGACAGAGCGAGACTCCATCTCAGAAAAAAACAAAAAACAAAAAAAAACTGGGGACTAGTAGAGAGTAGTCTTGACCTTCTGATGGAATGAACTTTGACTTGAAAATCTGTGAACAGAAAAACTATTAGGAAATTCCTAATTGCTTGCCATATTTGGTATTTTACTTACCAATTGCTTCTCTACTTTCAGCTTATATTGTTGAGCTTCAAATTTTCTCTGAAGGTACTCAGCAGGCCTTAGAAAATAAGAATGTTCAGCTTAAGTAGAAACTTTAACAAATCTTATGCACCAATTTGACAAGTAGATTTTCACTTTAGTAATGAGATTCACAATTCACTGGTGGCTTGAAGTTCCAAGTTCAAGAAGTAGTTCACAGTTACAGAATCTTTACATTGGAAAATAAAATTTTGGAATCAAGAGGAAAAAAGGATAAAGAGTAACAAGTGGGGATACAGGAGAGGATTAAACAGAAAAATATTCTTATCCAGTAATTTTTCTTCAGGGCAAGATTCAGTCCTTCCATTGTTGTGGGGAGGAAAACAGACCCAGACCCAGAAATTCTCATGCTTTGTGTAGGTGTCTAATGTACAGGTTGTTTCTCCTGATTTAACAATGGCAGCTGGATGTGGTGTCTCACACCTGTAATCCCAGCACTTTGGGAGGCCGAGGTGGGTGGATTGCCTGAGGTCAGGAGTTCGAGACCAGCCTGACCAACATGGTGAAACCCCGTCTCTGCTAACAAAATATTAGCCGGGTGTGGTGGCAGGCGCCTGTAATCCCAGCTACTGGGGAGGCTGAGGCAGGAGAATTGCTTGAACCTGGGAGGCAGAGGTAGCAGTGAGCCGAGATCACATCACTGCACTCCAGCCTGAGTGACAGAGCAAGACTCCGTCTCGAAAAAAAAGAAAAAAAAGAATGGCTGCATATCTGTTTCCTGCACCACATACTGAGCTCCCTGAGAGCAGAATGTGTCCCTCCATCCATCCCTTTATCTCCGCACGTAAATGGTTAATGAGAAAAGAAATCATGGGTTAGTTGTCTCTCCAAATGTTTAAGGTATTTTTCCAGCACAGTTTTAGTCAATTCCAGTCAAACAATTTTCACAGTTCATCATACTCCCACTTTTAACGGTATCTCATCCTTTTTTTTTTTTTTTTTTTTGTTGGTAGAATTTCCTGTAAAAACTTTCTGTAACTACTGGGTTGTTAATAACAAAACCACATTTTCAGGATCATAAGTGTTTTTTGGAATATGAATAACTTCTAATGGCTCCAAAGGACAGAACTTGTCATTTCAGAAACACCTCCTTTAGGGGAAGGCAACTCATGATAAGCATCCCCAATTTACAAAAGAGGCAAGTTAATAATCAGGGCGTTTAGAAACAGGATGAAATGACAGCTAAAGTCTTGAGTCTTAGGTTCCTCAGCTGTAAAGTGGGCATTGGCTGCATTTCACAGGAATTGATAACAAAGGATTAGAAGAGATTAGGGGCTGTGAAGTTGCCTGACACACAGATAGTTCCTGAATCAAATGAGGGCGTAAATTTGTAAGCACTCACCTGTTCTCAAAAGGCCTAATGGCACATATTATCAATATCTTCCATGAGAAAAAGATGATTCTGAAACCCAGGGGCTGTCCAAAAGGACTTCTCTATTTCTCTGTCTACCCTACCTCCCTTTCCACCCCACACATTCTATACAAATTCCTCTTCCTCAGCTGGGCACGGTGCTTCACTCCTATAATCCCAGCCACTTTGGGAGGCCGAGACAGGCAGGATCACAAGGTCAGGAGATCGAGACCATCCTGGCCTAACATGGTGAACCCCATCTCTACTAAAAATAAAAAAAAATAGGCCGGCATGGTGGTGGGCGCCTGTAGTCCAGCTACTTGGGGAGGCTGAGGCAGGGAGAATGATGTGAATCCGGGAGCAGAGCGTGCAGTGAGCCGAGACGGGGCCACCACACTCCAGCCTGGGTGACAGAGTGAGATTGTCTCAAAAAAAAAAAAAAAAATTCCTCTTTCCTCCATCCCATGGCCTGTAATTAGACCTCCAGCAGAGAGAAAGTTGGCGGATGGGGGAGTATACAAAGAGGAGGGTTACCGGCATCAAAGGGGCATCCAGGGAAAGAGAAGGACCCTTTCTATGTTTCATGTGGAGAGCTTGGGAGAATAAAATCACACGTGGTCAAAATAATTGATAGCTTGGACAGTTCTCAAATCTAGACAAAGGCAGTGGAGGATATATTTTCCCAGTGGTTGAAAAAAGGGAAAGGGAGTTTTGTGGCTGCTCCCAGTTCATTTGTAAAATCTACATTCCTCACTAATTGAGTCCAATATGGGTATTACAATTTGAATGGAACGGAAGATGCAACTTTTGATAATTGTGGAGATAATTAAAAATGTGTTATGAAGATAGGATAAAAACCACAACAGTGCCAATATCTTTAAAGATAGGCAGGCGCGGTGGCTCAAGGCCTGTAATCCCAGCACTTTGGGAGGCCGGACGGGCGGATCACGAGGTCAGGAGATCGAGACCATCCTGGCTAAACACAGTGAAACCCCGTTTTTTCTACTAAAAATACAAAAACTTAGCGCGCGAGGTGGCAGGCGCCTGTTAGTCCCAGCTACTCAGGAGGCTGGAGGCAGGAGAAGGCGTGAACGGGAGGCGAGCTTGCAGTGAGCTGAGATCCGGCCACTGCACTCCAGCCTGGGTGACAGAGCCGAGACTCCGTCTCAAAAAAAAAAAAAAAAAGGAAAAAACATCTGCTTTTCCCATTATATGTTTCTGAAGAAATTATTTTCTTATCATTCTTGCTTATCTCATTTTCACTATTAATGAGATTACCATCACATAGTCTCTTGTATTTTTCACAATTCATCCAAAATTTCAACAATAAATAACCACAGTTGCCAAAGTAACAAATTTCTAACCCTGAACAAAAAAATTTGATGACAAACATTTTTTAAAAAGAACTCTTAGACTTAAGTCTTCAGGCCTGTGTTAGGTGTCAATTACTCTGGACACAGGAATATCGACATCAGTGTGAAAAAATTTTGAAAATATTGTAGATCTGCAGAAATCTATTATGGAGTAAAATTTTTGAAAATCTACCATAAGACCAATTTAAGAATACTATTTTCTTTCTAATATGTCCACATTTTGAAGATCCCTACAACATAAAGCTGAATGACATGTATCTTATTTCTCCCAAAAGTTCAAATAACATTTACCGTTTATATGACTCAACTTATGATGCAAGTAGTAACCCTCCGAAATGAAATAAACACAGACTACTTTTTTCACACTGCCAATATGGAATTTAGCAGAGAAAAATACCTTAAAAAGGGGCAGGGGAGTGGTCTGTCCTACAGTTAAGCAGCTCTATGAATAAGAAAATACACTAGACTCAGCTGAGATGAAAAAACGGTTAAGGGAAAAGGAAGATAATGTATCCATTACTTATCATCGTGATAATCTATCAATCCATTTATGTGGCCTTATTTTAATTACAGACCTGCTTGTTACTCTCGACTAGCGCGGCGCTAAAATTCATACTACCCATCTGCCGCATAACTCTAACCAACCACTCCCCTCTCCACAATGTATAATTCGCCCCACATAACCATACCTAAGAACCCCTGGTACACTTGATATGCTAATGTCAAACCAGATTTGCTTTGTGTAATATATATGACATGCTGACTGGCAAAGTAGAAGCGAATCGTCTAACAAAACAAAAAAACAACGGCTGGCGCATGTGGCTCCACGCCTGTAGCTCCCAGCACTTAGAGCAAGGCAGGGTGGATCACATGAGCCCTCAGGCTGGCCCTGCTGAACGGAGCGCGGAGAATTTGAAGAACTCAACACACGAAGCAGGGGCTGAGGGCTGACATAGAAAGAAGGAGACAACATGGCCAGGCACGTGGCTCATGGCACGTAAATCCTAGACGATTGAGAGCCAAGACGGCAGCTCACTGAGTCAGGAGCGAGATCAGGCGTTGCCAACATGGAGAGCGCGCGCGGAGCGTAAAGATACAAATTAGCCGGCCCCCCCATGTGGTGACCGATGCCTGTAATCCCCAGCTACTGGGGAGGCTGAGCACGAGAATTGCTGAACTACAGAAGGCCAAGGTTGCGGGAGCTGCGAGAACGCCACTGCACTCCAGCCTAGACAAAGCAGCGACCCTCTATCAAAAACCGGCAAACAAAAGAAAAAGGTCAAGGGAACTATGTGTTTAAAATGAAGATTTGGAAAGTTCTTCTTGGATTATTTGTGTTAGGAGAATTTGGATTTCAGAATAATTAATGTTCATATGTAAAGATATTTTCAGATTAATCAAAGCTTAAGCTAGACCACAATATTACCATTGACTTGGGGATGGACCATGCCTCTCTTCCTGACTGTAATCCTCAACTCCAGTATTTTCTTGAGGAATAGGGTGATAACTTGGTTCCTGGGCTCTCCTCCTCAGCATATCAAGTTGAGCATAATAATAATCATAATGTCCACACACAGCAGCAAGTTTGGGCCTTTCTATCATTTTTATCTGAAGAAAAGAAGAGGGGATGTTTTTAAAAACCATAATACAGGCCGGGTGCAGTGGCTCACATCTGTAACCCTAGCACTTTGGGAGGCCAAGGCAGGTGGATCAGGAGTTCAAGACCAGCCTGGCCAACATGGCAAAACCTTGTCTCTACTAAAAATACAAAAATTAGTTAGGTGTGGTGGTGCACACCTGTAATCCCAGCTACCCAGGAGGCTGAGGAAGGAGAATCGCTTGAGTCCGGGAGGTGGAGGTTGCAGTGAGCTGAGATCGTACCACTGCACTCCAGCCTGCGCAACGTGAGTGAGACTCCATCTTAAAAAAAAACCATAATACAAATTTATAATACTTGACAATATGACAGTGACCATAGCTAAGACAAGGCACTGAAGGTGTATTTTTGCTGTTTTTCTACTACACTTGTTTTTCAGAATAAAATAATCTTAGAGTCCCCAAATCCCAGAGTACAAAAAGACCTAAGTACTATATAGTATAGTGGTTTACAATTTTGCTAAGGTATAGATATGAATCATGCATACTTCATGGCTAGTATGTAAAATGTACTTAGCTAGTGAGTATGCCCAGCCAATCCAAGATCCAAAACTAAACTCAGAATTATTGTTTTCTATTTTTCTTAAACTCATGTATACCTTACCATACTTTACAGGAAAATAAAAAGTATCGTGGAACTCACACATATGGGGATTTGCAACATTTTTAGTTTCTGATAAATTGACTAAACGCAAAATGGCATCATGACTTAAAGAAAATAAGATGCTGAATCAGAGTCATTCTTCCAGAGAAAATATTTTAAAAGGTCATATAACAGCTGTGATGGACATATTAGCATCCCAGCCCTCACCACCCAACCAGAACAGAATGAGAACAGGAGAACCAGAAATGACAGTTTATCTTAGAACTGAGTAGAAGCCACTGAGCTAGAAGATGAGAAATGGATCAAATTAAGATATAAAAGCCAGTCAAGACCTTCTTGCTAAAGAGCAAAGTGGGGTCAATTTAACCTGAAGTGTGGCAACTCTGTCTAGTTGACAGTTTACAGTTAATAATAAAAAGAGAAAAATAGATGAAACTACTGTAAAAACCTAGGAACTAATAGTTGAGAATATGAATAACGAAAACAATTAAAACCAAAATGTCCTCATGTAAAGAGGTAATATGCTATATCCTTTATTCTTTTTACTGCTATATGGTTCATATATATGTTAGATTGGACCATATGAAATTACACATAATTGGCTGGGCGCGGTGGTTCACGCCTGTAATCCCAGAACTTTGGGAGGCTGAGGCGGGCAGATCGCAAGGTCAGGACATCGAGACTATCCTGGCCAACATGGTGAAACCCTGTCTCTACTAAAAATACAAAAACAAAATTAGCCGGGGTGTGATGGAGGGCGCCTGGAGTCCCAGCTGTTCGGGAGGCTGAGGCGGGAGAATGACGTGAACCTGGGAGACGGAGATTGCAGTGAGCCGAGATAGCACCACTGCACTCCAGCCTGAGTGACAGAGTGAGACTCCATCTCAAAAAAAAAAAAAAAAAAAAAAAAAAAAAAAAAAGAAGACATTTGCCACAGAATTGTACCATCATTAATCTAGGAAAATGGCACTTTCATATAGTTCTATTTAAATATTTAAGTAAATGTATAAAATTTAGTTTATTAATCTAAATACAAATTATATGTTTATTTTTAAAATATTTTCTTTTCTTTATAAATTCTGAGCAGATCTCACTCTGTCACCCAGCCTGGAGGGTTGTGGTGTGATCATAGCTCATTGCAGCTTCAAACTCCTGGGCTCCAGGAATCCCCTGCCTCATCCTCCCAAGTAACTGGGACTACGGGCACATGCCACCATGTCCAGCTAATTTTCTTTTAATTTTACTTTTTGTAGAGGTGGGGTCTCAATGTGTTGACCAGGCTGGTCTCGAACTCCTGGGCTGAAACAATCCTCCTACCTCAGCCTCCCAAAATGTTGGATTACGGTCATGAGCCACTGCACCAGCCTATTTTAAAAATCTTTTAAAGTAAGAAGTAGTTTTCTTTGCTTTACAATTTCACCTGTATACAACCTAGAAAAAAATACTACCAATTACTTGTTGAAAAGTGGTTAGAAAAAGTATTGAAAGGCAATAGACAGTTTCTTTAAAATTTTTTCTAATATCCCAACAGTAATAGGAATATCAGAGGTAGTTCCTGTGGAAATCAATTTTACCTTTTCAAGGAACTGGAAAAAATGTCAACGTGTTCAACAGTTCTCATAATTTAATTCATCCTCAAATCTTTTAGATGTATTTTCTCTTCTACAGGTCTGATAAAGAGTCCTCTGAATCACAACATACTTTTCTTATTTCTTTAATAAAATTAAGCCCTTAGGCTGGGCACAGTGGCTCACACCTGTAATTCCAGCACTTTGGGAGGCTGAGGCAGGTACATCACTTGAGCCCAGGAGTTCGAGAACAGCCTGGGCAACACAGTGAGACCCTGACTCTACAAAAAATAAAAACTAGCTGGGCATCATGGTGCATACCGGTAGTACTAGCTATTCAGGAGGCTGAGGTGGGAGGATCACTTCAGCCTGGGAGGTCGAGTGATGTGGTTTGGATTTGTGTCTCTGCCCAATCTCATGTTGAATTGTAATCCCCAATGTTGGGAGAGGAAGCCTGGTAAACGGATCATGGGGGCAGATTTCTCCCTTGCTGTTCTTGTGATAGTGAGTGAGTTTTCATGAGATCTGGTTGTTCAAAAGTTTGTAGCAGCTATCCCTTCACTCCTTCCCTCCTGCATGTAAGATGAGCCTGCTTCCCCTTCTGCCGTGATTATAAATTTCCTGAGGCCTCCCAGCCATGCTTCCTGTACAGGCTGCAGAACTGTGAGCCAATCAAACGTCTTTTCTTTATAAATTACCCAGTCTCAGGTGTTCTTTATAGCAGTATGAGAACGGACTAACACAATACATTGGTACCAGGAGTGGGGAATTGTGTAAAGATACCTGAAAATGTGGAAGTGACTTTGGAACTGGGTAACAGGCAGAGGTTGGAAGAGTGTGGAGGGCTCAGAAGAAGTCAGGAAGATGATGGAAAGTTTGGAATGTCCTAGAGACTTGTTAAAATCATAGTGACCAAATTCTGATAGTGATATGGTCAATGAAGTCCAGGCTAAGGAGGTCTCAGATGGAGATGAGGAACTTATTGGGAAATGGAGCAAAGGTCACTTTTGTTATGCATTAGCAAAGAGGTTGGAGGCATTGTGCCACTACCCTAGCAATCTGTGGAACTTTGAACTTGAGAATGATGATTTAGGGCATCTGGCAGAAGAAATTTCTAAGCAGCAAAGTATTCAAGATGTGGCCTGGCTTCTCTAGCACCCTATGGTCATATTTGTGAGCAAATAAATGATGTAAAACTGGAGCTTATACTTAAAAGAGAAGCAGAGTATAAAAGTTAGGAAAGTTTGCAGCCTGGAAAGAAAAACCCATTTTCTGGGGAGCAATTCAAACCAGCTGCAGAAATTTTCAAAAATAAAGAGAAGTCAAATGTTGCTAGCCAAGATAATGGGGGAAATGCCTTGAAGGCATTTCAGAGACCTTTGAGGCAGCGCCTCTCATCACAGGCCCTGAGGCCTAGGAGGGAAGAATGGCTTTGAGGACCAAGCCCAGGGCTCCACTGCTCTGTGCAGCCTCAGGACATGGTGTCTTGCATTGTGGCTGCTCCAGCTCCAGCCATGGTTAAAAGGGCCTAAGGTACAGCTCAGGCCATTGCTTCAGAGAGTGCAAGCCGTAAGTCTTGGTGGCTTCCACGTGGTGTTAAGTCTGCAGGTGCACAGAGTGCAAGAGTTGAGGCGTGGGAGCCTCCATCAAGATCTCAGAAGACATACGGAAAAGCCTAGACGTCCAGGCAGAAGCCTGTTTCAGGGAGACCCTCCACTAGGGCAGTGCAGAGGGGAAATGTGGCATTGGAGCCTCCACACAGAGTCCCGGCTGGGGCACTGCCTAGTAGAGCTGTGAGAAGAGGACCACCATTCTCCTGACTCCAAAACGGTAGCCTGAACGACAGCTTGCACCATGCACCTGGAAAAGCCACAGGCACTAAACAGCAGCCTGTGAGAGCAGTCGCAGGGGCTGTAGCCTGCAAAGCCTCAGAAGTAGAGCTGCCCAAGGCCTTGGGAGCCCACTCCTTGCACCAGTATGCCCTGGATGTGAGATATGGGGTCAAAGGAATTTGGAGTTTTAAGATTTAATGACTGCCCTGCTAGGTTTTGAATTTGCATGGGGTCTATAAACCCTTTGTTTTGGCTGATTTCTCCCTTTTGAAATGGGTGTATTTACCAATGCCTGTACCCTCATTGTATTTTGGAAGTAACTAACTTGTTTTTTATTTTACAGACTCACAGGTGGAAAGGACTTGACTTGTCTCAGATGAGACTTTGAACTGTGGACTTTTGAGTTAAATGCTGAAATGAGTTAAGCCTTGGGGGACTGTTGAGAAGGGAAAATTGTATTTTGCAATGTGAGAAGGACATGGGAATTGGGACGGGCCAGAGGTGGAATGATATGGTTTGGATTTGTGTCCCTGCCCAAATTTCATGCTGAATTGTAATCCCTGATGTTGGAGGAGGGGTCTGGTGGAAGGTGATTAGATCATGCGGGCAGATTTCCCTCTTACTGTTCTTGTGATAGTGAGTATGTTCTCATGAGATCTGGTTGTTTACAAGTGTGTAGCACCTCCTCGTTCGCTCTCTTCCTCCCACTCTGGCCATTTAAGATGAGCCTGCTTCCTCTTCTGCCATAATTATAAGTTTCCTGAGGCCTCCTCAGCAATGCGTCCTGTACAGCCTGCAGAACTGTAAGCCAATTAAACCTCTTTTCTTTATAAACTACCCAGTCTCAAGTAGTTATTTATAGCAGTATGAGAACAGACTAATACATCAAGGTTGCAGTGAGCTGAGACATGCCACTGCACTCTAGCCTGGGTGACAGAGCAGGACCCTCTTTCAAATAAATAAATAAATAAATAAACAAACAAGTTAAGCCCTTTATCAAATGAAGGGCAATAACTTAAACAATCAGTTTTTAAAAAAAATGTTTACATACCAATATATTTTCTAAAATGTCTATCTATCAAGTAAACACTTAGTAAATATACTTCCAAATGGTTCTCTAATTTTACCATGAGCCTTCTTTAAAAATATAATTCTTTAATTAAAAGACAATAGCCATTTTATCATTTACATACCAGAAGCATTTCACTAGTATGACCTGAAAGATTCAACACTGTGCTGAAGTGAATTCAAATAACTAAACACAAAGAATCGCTAGGGAAATATCAATTATTATATCATACAAACTTCTCAATCCTATACATGTTAGAATTAAGAATATTAAATGCAGACTGTTTTCTGTTGCTATGTTACTCACTTTTCCTATACAGGAAAACCTTACTTATTAGAAATAAGAAGAATTTCAGTTATAAAAAGAAAATTAAACCTAAAGTATACTTGTAAGGGCATACAGCATCGTTTTATAAAATATAAAAACTAGAAGTTGTCCAAAAAAATACCATTATAATGCTCAGTACAGAATACTTTATTGTAAGTACAAAATTTGTGGACTCTAGACAATGAGCTTGTACCTCACGAACATGTGCAGATAGGTCTGTCAGAATATACCATAGCTTAATGGGTTAAAAAAAATAGAATAAGACCTACTATTTGATAGCACAATAGACTGCCTATAGTCAATAGTAACTTAATTGTACATTTTTAAATAACTTAAAGAGTATAACTGGGTTGTTTGTAACTCAAAGGATAAATACTTGAGGGGACAGACACCCCATTCTCCATGATGTGCTTATTTCACATTGCATGCCTGTATCAAAACATCTCATGTACCCCATAAATATATACACTTAATATGTACCCACAAAAATTTTTTTAACTAAAAAATTAAAGAAAAAGAATATAACAGCCAGTTGCAGTGGTTTATGCCTGTAATACCAGCACTTTGGGAGGCTGAGGCAGGTGGATCACAAGGTCAGGAGTTCGAGACCAGTCTGACCAACATGGTGAAACCCTGTCTCTACTAAAAGTACAAAAATTAGCTGGGGCCAGGTGCGGTGGCTCACACCTGTAATCCCAGCACTTTGGGAGGCCCAGGCAGGCGGATCACAAGGTCAAGAGATCAAGACCATCCTGGCCAAAATGGTGAAACCCCATCTCTACTAAAACACAAACATTAGCTGGACATGGTGGCACACGTCTGTAGTCCTAGCTACTCAGGAGGCTGGGGCAGAAGAATTGCTTGAACCCGGGAGGCAGAGTTTGCAGTGAGTTGAGATCACATCACTGCACTCCAGCCTGGCGACAGAGCAAGACTTCATCTCAAAAAAAAAAAAAAGAAAAGAAAAGAACACACCATAGTTAAAAAAACACAAAGGAGGGTTTAGAATGACTTACGGATCTGGCCTTCTGTGCTCCAGCTGGTGGTCGCCATTCATTTCTATGCAATATAGCATTCCTTTTAATTGGCACAGATATCCTTGATCTTGGTGGGCACTTTCCCTGGAATTTCACTTTTTGTATTTTACACTCTTAATTAACCAAAACAAAACAGCTTTAATTTTTGAAAAATTGTACATCCTTACTACTGATACTTGTAAGAATATAAACATAAGCTACATTTCATAACACAGTAAGTTTACTTTTTAGCCAGAGATATGTTACAGTGAGAGAAGTACTGATGAAAAATTAATATGCATTTTCTTTAAATGAAAAAAACCTTTTTTCAGAGTCCCTTTGCATATTTCTAGTATATATAGCATCACTTTTTTTCAGAAAAATAGAAATTAATATTAACCTTTACAGAAACAGTATGTATGGGGTAATAATAAAAGTTATTAAATTTGGTCATTAGAGCTTGGGTTATCAGGCCATTCCATTCATGCCACATTGTTTGGAATTTATGAGTAGATCTTCTCTTTTTTTTTTTGTTGGGACAGTCTCCCTTTGTCACCCAGGCTATGTTACAGTGGCAGGGTCTCAGCTCACTGCAACCTTCACCTCCTGAGTTCATGCAAATCTCGTGCCTCAGCCACCCAAGTAGCTGGGATTACAGGCATGGGCCACTAGGTCCAGCTAATTTTTGTATTTCTAGTAGAGATGTGGTTTGGCCACATTGGCCAGACTGGCATCAAACTCCTGGCCTCCAGTGATCTGCCCACCTTGGCCTCCCAAAATGCTGAGATTGAGGTATGAGTAGATCTCTAATGCTTGTCTTTATCTCCATCCAAATTTGTTCTTGGGCTGGGTAAGGTGGCTCACACCTGTAATCCCAGCAATTTGGGAGGCCAAGGTGGGAGGATTGTTTGAGCTCAGGAGTTTGAGACCAGCCTGGGCAACACAGTGAGACCCCATCTCAATAAGAAAAAATTGTTCTTGTTCTCCTGTCTTACCTATATTAGAAATATGGACAATACACTGTCCCATACTTTGTACTTGTCTACTTTCTAAACATTCTCAGTCTAGACTGATATACAACAATGTCAGTCAAATTAAATGGCAAAGAGGCTCATTCATTTTCTCCTTAACTTTCCTCGATTTTAGAATCTCTCTCTCAATGGATAACATTTCCCTCTCATGAATTCCTTTGGGAGGTTTTCTGCTGCTTCTAATATTGTAAGTCCAGGCATTCAGTTATGGCTAAATCCTGCGGCTTTGACTTTCACAGCATCAAATGAATTAGTAATTTCCTCTTTCTTAATGCACCCCTCCCTCTGACACACAGCTGAGCTGATTCCTGACACCAGGACTAAAATAGTTTTCTCCAATTATTACTACCATAAAGTATCTCCTGCCTTCTTTGGGAACCACAAAGTAACAGTTCTCACTGTTACCAATTAGGCCCCAAGATCCTAACTTCAGCTCCAATGGTCCTTTGCAACAGAATTCTTAATTGCCAGTCTATCCTATTTTAGAAAAATAAGTTTCATCTCATCATCCATGTCTATCTGCAACCTTCTCCCACTCTATCTCTTCACTACACAAAAGTTAAGTTTGGGCTCAACCTCTTCAAGCATCTCTATCAGCATGTCCTCTGCTTCATGAAGGTTTCCTGACTAATGAGAAGAAACCCTGCAGGTCATGCATGAGCCAAATATACAACTTTCAGGCACACTCACTAGTTGCCATTTGACAAGATGATTGTTCTCCTGCTTATACTGCTTGTTTCCTAAATGTCCACTTTCAAAATGTTTGGTGAAATTTCCTTGCATTACTCTCTGTGTGAGACATGTGTAATAAATGCTTTCAATTGCACGGTAAAGTCACACTTACTCTGGACCACCTTCCCAGCCTGTCGAGAAGCTGGCGCTCCTGCTCTGCATATAAGCATGTGATTAAATTCTTCCTGAATGACCTAAAACCGAACACACGTGTCAAGGACCTACAAACCAAAATCTCTGCCAAAATCCAAACAGTCACCTCAAAACTCACCTCAGGAGTCAAATATTTGGGAATAAGATTCTCTAAAAAGGGCCTTTTCAAAATGGAATTTATGGATGGTCGGTCTCGAGGAGATACTTGAAAGAGCTGAGATATCAAGGAATGTAGCTCACGCGAAAACCTTGGAGATATTGGGGCAAAATGTGCTTGACAAATCTTCAGAACCAGCTGCTGTAAGTTGTTACCCTCAAACTGAAAGGGCAAGGAGCAATCATACTAAATCAGAGAAAAGTTACTAAAGTAACAAATAATAAAAGTGTTAAAGTAACAAACATACCAAGAAGCAAAACAATGTTTTTAGATTGTAGTTAGAAGCAGTAGACCTGTAATCCCAGCAATTTGGGAGGCCAAGGCAGGAGGATCACTGGAGCCCAGGAGTTCAAGACTAGCCTGGGAAACATAATATTAGACCTCATCTCTCCAAATCATGGTTTTTAAAAATTTGCTGGGCTTGGTGGCATGAGCCTGTGGTCCCAGCTACTTGGGAGGCTGAGGCAAGAGGATTGTCTAAGCCCAGGAGGTCAAAGCTGCAGTGAGCCGTGATCACAGCACTGCACTCCAGCCTGGGTGACAGAGTGAGACCCGGTCTCAATCAAAAAATAAAAAAGAAGCACTATAGTCCACCCCAAATTGTTTTCTTTTTTTTTTTTTTTTGAGACGGAGTCTCGCTCTGTCGCCCAGGCTGGAGTGCAGTGGCCGGATCTCAGCTCACTGCAAGCTCCGCCTCCTGGGTTCACGCCATTCTCCTGCCGCGGCCTCCCGAGTAGCTGGGACTACAGGCGCCCGCCACCTCGCCCGGCTAGTTTTTTGTGTTTTTTTTGGTAGAGACGGGGTTTCACCGCATTAGTCAGGATGGTCTCGATCTCCTGACCTCGTGATCCGCCCGTCTCGGCCTCCCAAAGTGCTGGGATTACAGGCTTGAGCCACCGCGCCCGGCCCCAAATTGTTTTCAACAACTAATCTTTCATGAGCAGATACTGCAGTTTCTCAACGAGATGCCATGTTATTTAAAACAAGTTCTTTTGTTTCGTCTTATTATCGAAATAACGTTTACTCATAATAAAAAACAGGAAGGTACAGGAAGTTATAAAGACAGGGGAAAATACGTATAATTTTACCCCACTCAGAGGTATAGCTCCTTCTGATCTTTTTTAAAAATGATGTTTATTTTACAAAGTTGAGGTCACATTGATATGAAATTTTATCTCTTGCTTTTTAAAATTCACATAAACATTGTTTAACTTCCTCTAAAATGCTTCACAGACCAGAAAATATTCTATTGTATGAAATCAATAGTTATTTATACATAATAATATTCAACACCATGGTGTAGCAATAAAGGTACACATTGGCCAGGCATGGTGGCTCACGCCTGTAATCCCAGCACTCTGGGAGCCCGAGATGGGGAGATCACCCAAGGTCAGGAGTTCAAGACCAACCTGGCCAACATGGTGAAACCCTGACTCTACTAAAAATACAAAAAAATTAGCCAAGTGTGGTGGTGGGCACCTGTAATCCCAGCTCCTCGGGAGACTGAGGCAAGAGAATTGCTTGAACCCAGAAGTCAGAGGTTGCAGTGAGCTGAGATCATGCCACTGCAGTCCAGTCTGGGCGACAGAGAGGGACTCCATCTCAAAAAAAAAAAAAAAGAAGTACACATTTTCGTCAGAAATTGGCTGCGCAATCCTTGACAATAATTAATAATAACAATAATGACAGCTGTGGAGAAGAGTTGATGTAGCAGGTTATCCTCAGAAAGGCCTGCTTACAATGTTGGCCTGTGGCTGGTGGCTGGAAACTAAGATTTCAGAAGAATTCCCACCATTCCCTGAATGTTAAGAGCGGCTCTCTTTGCCTCAGCTATTTATGTGAACAATATGGTTTACGTTGAACACCTGCTTTCTTTCCAGGAGGCTGGAAGTTTGGCATATGCCAGGTAGAGGCTACCTATGTGACCAGTTCCCAGTAAAAATTCCGTGGGCACTGGTGAGTGATCGAATGAGCTTATTATTCAGATTGCATGGTGCAGCGAGGTGACGTGCCCACGGGTAAACAAACTGCACGAGATTTGGACACAGTCCCATGTGACCTCTGGGGAAGATCTTAAACACTCCTGCCTGTAATTCCTATGACCCTTTGCCACGTAACATTTATTCTTTATTGCTGAACGTATCTTAAACTTCCAACACATAATTATATTTTATTTATTTATTTATATTATTTATTTTTAATTATATTTTTTTTTGAGACGGAGTCTTGCTCTGTCACCCAGGCTGGAGTGCAGTGGCGCAATCTCAGCTCACTGCAAGCTCCACGTCCTGGGTTCACAATATTTTCCTGCCTCAGCCTCCCGAGTAGCTGGGACTACAGGCGCCCGCCACCACGCCCAACTTTTTTTTTTATATTTTTAATAGAGACGGGGTTTCACTGTGTTAGCCAGGATGGTCTCGATCTCCTGACCTGTCTCGGCCTCCCAAAGTGCTGGGATTACAGGCGTGAGCCACTGTGCCCGGCACTATTTATTTATTTTTTATTTTTTTGAGATGGAGTCTCGCTGTCACCCAGGCTGCAGTGCAATGGCGCAATCTCAGCTGATTGCAGCCTCCACCTCCGGGGTTCAAGCAATTCTCGTGCCTCAGCCTCCCAACTAGTTGGGGCTACAGGCACGTGCCACCATGCCTGGCTAATTTTTGTATTTTTAGTAGAGACAGGGTGTTACCATCATGTTGGCCAGGCTGGTCTCCAACTTCTGACCTCAAGTGATCTACCTGCCTCAGATTCCCAAAGTGCTGGGATTACAGGCATGAGCCACCATGCCAAGCCCACACAATTTATTTTTAATGGAAATATGCTACACATACTAGTCTCCAACTTGGACTTTTTACTTTATAATATTGTTTGGACATCTTTCCATGTCATCTATCATTATTTTAAGGAGCTCATCCATATAATTTTTAACAATCTAATAAAACCAAACATTAACCTTTTTCTCCTATAAATTAACTTCTTTTCTACAATTCCAATAATTCAAGATTAGTCTGACAATGAGCATACTTACAGGATGTTTGAGTGTGCAGAGCTCATATAAGACACAGCCAAGAGACCAAATATCCCTAAAGAAGATAAGAGTTTACATGCCAAGAAAATATCCATAATTCTTAATAAAAGCTTTTATCCTTACAGTGCCTTAAATTTGTGTCACTTTACAATTTTATATAAGTTGATCAGTTTTTACAAATGCTTTCAGATATATCATCAATTCTTATTAGAAGATAAGAGGTCAAATGAAAATCATTTGTAGTTTGTCAGATTTCTAGTCGAAGAAAGGCATACAAACTTTGCTACAAGCTAGTGGTTTAATATTTAGGTCAGCTTCCTGCTCAAAAACAGTGTATGTATGATGAAATGTTGAGCAATTTGGAGGAGGCAGGCAGAACTCAAACATGGATTTGTTTTGACTCAAAAGGTAATATTTGGTTGATTTGGAAAGATATATCCTACTCAAGGCTTTTGACAGAATCAAAGTTATATTATGTGATAAACATAGTATCTGATTCTCAATAAACATTTAAAAATATATTTAAAATATATCATGAGTTTTACTCTTTACAGATTTAGTACTTCATAAATATTTATATGTGATTGGTTTAATTGAGAAGTTACTTTATAGAACAAAAAGCACAATTAAATCTAAAAGATCAAAAAATGTATAATAAGAAGTCAAGGAGTCAAAGCAAGAAGGAATCATTAAAGTGAGGAGTGAGGTAAATGGCTCCTCTAGCAGCAACACTTTGTGCGCGAGTGTGTCTGCGAGCGCCAGGTGCAGTGGCTCAACCCTGTAATCCAGCACTTTGAAGGCTGAGGCAGGCAGATCACCTGATTCAGGATTTCAAGACCAGCCTGGCCAATATGGTAAAACCCCGTTTCTACTAAAAATACAAAATATTAGCGGGGCAGGTGGCACGTGCCTGCAGTTCCAGGTACTCTGGGAGGCTGAGGCAAGAGGAATTACTTGAACCTGGGAGGCAGAGGTTGCCAGTCAGCTGAATCACGCCACTGCACTCCAGCCTGGTGACAGAGCCAGACTCCATCTCAAAAAAAAAAGAAAAAAAAATTACTGCTGAGAATCAGACTCTGATATCACATACATAAAAACTAATGGTTTTAAAGCTGGACGATACCTTGAAGATTACCTGTCAATACTTTCATTGTTATGAGTTAGGAACCTGAGGCCCACAGAGGTCAAGACTTGGTCAAGTTAGCAAGACTAGGATTCCTAGCTCCTAATCCAGTGAGCGGTCACAGATCACACTGTCTTCTACTTCATCCTCGTCAATCTTTTCTTCGCAATAGACTAACAGCTGCTTCAAAGGTATGACTATAATACAAAAATGGACGTCACAGTGACTGCAATTTCGCAATGTTTATTTTTTATACACTTGTATCTTTAAATGAAGAGAAATGGCTTTCTTCTAAACAAGTTCAGAACCTTCAGGTAACACTGCTCAGAGACAGTCACTGGGATCGCCCATTGTGGGCAGGCCAGGTGTTACTAACGCAGGCCTCCATCATAACTGTTTCTGTACTGACTGAGTGTGGAAGTTAAATATTAAAAGCTAAAAAGCCACGTCGCCTGGCCAGGCAAAGTGGCTCACACCTGTAATCTCAACACTTTGCGAGGCTGAGGGCGGGCAGGATACACAAGGTCAAGGAGTTTGAGACCAGCCTGGACAACATCGGTCGAAATCCCGTCTCTCCTAAAAAAACAAACACTTTACGCCAGGCACTGGTGC